ACATGAGATTCCTTGATGGGGTGGTTAGATAATGACTTCTAATTTCTCTATTCGTTTGGGTACAGGGATATAGTTGTTAATCTATGGGGATTATTTTTTCTTTTGTGGATAGTCTGAAGCTATATTTTTTGTGCTTTTGTTCTGGGCCTCGTCCTTCTTTTGGGTGCTCTTATATATATATATATATATATATACACACACACACACACACATTTGTACATAATGCATAGGGGTGAGCTGGTTAGTCCAATTGGAAGAAACACTTCACCCTGAGTTGCGTGGGAGCACAGGTTCGACTCAACCGATCCTCCCCTCCTTGATAGGTTTTGAAAAAAAAATGAAAAAGAACATAGTGCACAAAGAAAGTATATTTTACTCCTGAAGGTATAGCAGTTGGGTCGCTCAATACACTTTCCTCCCTTTCTCATTTCCTTTTCACTCAACAAAGCGACCCCACAGGTTATATAATTCCACCCCTTTCCTTTCCTTCCCTTCCCTTCCTCGGTTACATAATTCTGCCCCTTACTTTATTTTCCATCTACTTCTCCTCCGTATTAAAAGAGCATAATTGATATTTCCCCGTTGTGACTTCTTCAAGTCCCTTAGTGGCCGTGCCCTTATATCTTTGTGAGCATCTGGTCAATGGGTTACCATTCGAAAAATCTGGTCAAAAGGTTCCATGCAAAGTGAGTGGTAAGAACCGGTGATAAGCCAGAGGAAGGTGAGGATGACGTCAAAAAGTCATGCCCCAACCAATTCCCAAAAAATATAAATTTGTATTAAATTAGAACTAGTAACAATTATATTGAGGGAATTCCTAAAGAGTATATGGTATATCTTCTGAATATGACAGGATGAGGCTCTCTCATTCTTGTTGCATTGTGGGAGAGATAAGTTGATATCTTTGGGGCTGAAAAGATCCTTTCTTTCGTTGGACAAACTTACTGATATCTTAAAGAAAGTTCCAATTATCTACCAATTGACATGGTGGTTTTTTGCTTGACATGGTTTGGTCCCTTGGTCATATTAATGGGTAATTGATTTGTAAAATTGATATTCTTGTGAACTCTGATATTATTGTTCTCGACCTCGTACCAACTTTTGTAGTTTGGATCTGGGTGCATGGCTTAAAATCATCATTTTCAATATTTAAGAAGTAAATATGTAATGAAATAGCCATGGCATGATGTTCAAGTCAATAACACTTTTTCCTTTAATACCCTGTGGAGTCTAAATTGTCATAAAGACATAATATCCAATACTAGTCTCGATTCAGATTCTTTATTTTTTTTCTTTATAATTTTACATGTTTATTAAATACTAGTAAAAAAACACAAAAATAATATATTTTATTTTAAATGTCATTTGAAGCATATATTTTCAATACTAGCCATAGTTAGTCATATCTTAAATGTCATTTGAAGCATATGTTTTCCAACAATAGGCATATTCAATTATATAAATAAAAATGGTCATAAGTCACAAAATAATATACAATTTTATGATGAAAAAATTTAATAAGGTTACTGATAAGGATAATTAAAAATATGTATTCCAGCCAAACGATTTAGGTAACTCAACTACCGTGGATCAACAGATGAGGCAGGACTCGCTTGGATTTTCATTAGGGTTCGTTTGGTTATATGAAATCTAGAAACTGAAAAAATGCTAAAAATGAATTTCATCCAAACAACCGTCAACTGTCCTCCAAAGAGAGTTAGAATATGCCGCCTAATTCCCCGTCCCAATTTAGTTGCTATATTTCATTTTTGGGTTGTCCCAAAATATTTATTCGTCATTCCTTGTGAACAAACCTAGGTTTAACTTTTATCATAGATTTTTTTTGGCTGAAATTGAATCATCATTTTAACTTTAACAAAAGTAAAAGATAACAAAGGAGAAGGTAATAAAGTTGTGGCAAGCACTCCAAACTTTCTTGCTTGGAGAAACACAAAAGTTACAAAATGCACAATAATTAAAGAGCAAATGTTGCAGAACTATATAAAAGATAGCCTTTTGGCCCTATTTTGGACATTGTCAAGTGTTCTCTCCAAGCTCACTCTTTTCCCCTACAATATATGCTAAAGTCAATCTCAAATGGCCACACCACCACAAATAAACTTGAAGTTATTCATCGAAAAGAATACAAAAATAAAGTTGAAGCTATTCACTGAAAAGAATACAAAAATAGAGTTGAAGCTACTCGCTAACAAGGCGAGGAAGGTGCTATTTGCAAAGGGCGGAAAGGACTTTGTGGACTTCTTGGTTGGTCTCCTTGGGATGCCCCTTGGCTCTATCATGGTCAAGTGGTCTGAGCCATTTGGTTTTATTTGCACCCAATTCATTTTGTATTTGTTATAGATGCATTTTTTTTTTTTAGTCAGAGAAAGAGAGAGTATTACACTAGATGGTTTGATTAGAAAACAAAATGGGAATAAAATTCAATATATCTGTTTAAACCCTTATTTTTCACTTTCCAGTAAAAGATTACCCTAGTCGATTTCAATGGAAAGGTACTATGACATTCCAATAGAAAGTCTTGGGACACATGGCAACCAAGGAAGCAAGCGGTTACAAGTGGTTACATGCAACGTCATGGGACATATGGCAGCCTAGGAAGTGAGTGGTTACAAGTGGTTATATGCAAAGTCATGGGACACATCCTAAGAAGTAAGCGGTTACATGCAAAGTCATGGGACACATGGCAGCCTAGGAAGCTGGTCGATTTAAATGGAAAGGTACTACGATGTTCTAGTGGAAAGTCTTGGGACACATGGTAGTCAAGGAAGTAAGCGGTTACAAGTAGTTACATGCAAAGTCATGGGACATATGGCAGCCTAGGAAGAGCGGTTACATGCAAAGTCATTAGGGTTCATCCAAACGCTAAAAATGAATTTCATTAGGGTTCGTTTGGTTATATGAAATCTAGAAATTGAAAAAATGCTAAAAATGAATTTCATCCAACAAACGTCAACTGTCCTCTAAAGAGAGTTTAGAGTATGCCACCTAATTCCCCATCCCAATTTATTTAATCCTGGTACTGATTTATATACATATATAAGCTCAAATGCTTAAATAATATTTTGAAGGTGTTTGGCAAAATGGGTTATATAAATTGTTTTCTAAATTAATTATGGTCTATGATAGACATAGATATCAAATGTATTTATTAAATGCTAATGTTCAAGTAGGTTTATTGCTGCAAATATTATGGTAGGTGTTGGAATCAGTATTTTCTTTTCTTTACCTTTCTTGTGGCCACAACCAAACCTCATATTGTTGTAATATACCAAACAAAGGGAAGAATAAAAATAAGTTGGTGATCCACTAACAGCATTGCTCAAGCAGAGGGAGAGTCAATAACCAGCTTGAAATTTTTCACTAGACACGTCTAAAATCGATTGCGTTAAGTAACTCATCAGGAGCTCCTACCCCAAGTATTGTCCTTACCTGAACCCATGTGAATGGCTATTGCAACCTACTACTCATCACATTTGCAACAAATATAAACCAAGGCAACGATTATAACAAAAATACTCAGAATTGGAAACCAAAACATCATCATAAAACAGTAAACAAAAAACTAAAACTACCAATACCATCTTCTTCTGTTGAGCTTCTTCAACTCGGCCAACAATTCATCATTGGTTTTGCCGATGGATTGCACCAACTTTCCAACACTTTCAACAGCAGTGGTGCTCTCCCCCACAGCTGTGGTGGTACACTCCACAGCTTTTGTGTTGGCATCAATCTTTTCCTTGATGGGCTTCATCTTCTCAGCCACAATCCGCTTCACCTCCTTTGCTATATCAGGCTTGAAAAGAACTCCGGAAAGTGCTTCTATGCCTCCTAAGATGACCACAACATTGCTATTGTATTCATTAAACACCCTACCGAAGAAAGCTTCTCTGAACTCAAGATCAGAAGCAGCTTTAACAAACATCTTTTTTTTTTTGATAAGTTGATCTAGCAAACATTTGAAGCTTGGCTTTGTAGTTTGCAAACCTGTACCAAATGAAATATATGAGGATGATAATCTGTTGGGGGATTATTCTGTCTTTTGGGGTGGTAGTAGGTACAATTGCCCCAGCATTTAGAGAAAAAGGGTTAAAGAGCCATAAAACTGAGTTGAAAAAATAGAATTACTGCATCGAAATGTTAGTAGGGTGGAGAGAGAGCCCCTTAGCTTTACGAGTTTAGGGCCAAAAATGTAGAAAACTTGTTCATAAAACTAAGAATCTAATTTTGAAATTGTTTATACGAATTCAGATTATAATTTTGATCATCACTATTTTCTTAATAAGCAAGTTGATGTCATTTCGGTACACTACTACATGGTGATAAAACAGAAGCTAAATGTAAACCTATCGTCTCAAACCTTCGTCAAAATACCAACAACCTTTTCATGTATCTAAATGAATTTCAAGAACTGAAAAGTCATGTGTGAAGTGACCAAAGATTCTTATAACTAAAAGAATTAGACACTGTGCTCAATAGTATGTCTTCAACTCTAAATTTCCTTCAATTCTAAGTGCTTTAACTTAATTTGAGTGCATCAACATATTATCAACATCATCAGTCGTCATCACTAGAGTCAACATTGACATCAACATCCTCATCTAGAATCACGTAATTTGATTAAAATAAACTAAAAAGACTTCCCATCATAATTGATAATTTTAAAACCAACATCACTGCTACAACAGTAAGGAGATTGATATATATTATAAGGACAAAAGAGGAAAAGTTTTAAAAGCGTTAATAAACTTGTAAAACATATATTCTGAAATTAAAAACTAAACTTTCAAGTCTTTAATTCCCTTGTTCGAGCATCACATCATAACAATATTATATATATGTGTTGAGGTTGAATTTCGCCGCGGTCTAGTACGACACCGTTTCCTGCAAAATAAGGATGGCAAAGTCAAACACCGGCGTGGTGCCGGCCGTTGACCCTCCGACGATCAAGTCAACAAGGATTCTCGATAGAGAATTTTAATCGTAATTTGCTTAGTAGGAGTTTTTTTTGTGTGTACCTTATCCCCGAGTCGTCTTTGTCTTTATAGTCACTTCCCTTATTCTTGATAAGGGAGTTCCATCGTCCTTAGCCCATGGAGCCTACCTCGTGGAAATCCTATCCTTGATAAGATTTGAACTTATCCCATGACAAATCCTATCCTAGATACGATTTGTCATCATTCTTATCTAATAGAATGGTTATCCTTAATAACGAGATATTATCGTCTGAGAGTTGGAGAAATCTGGTGGCAGGTCAATATTTAATTCCCTTTTTTGTTAAGTCAAGATAGGCTAGGGTTATTTTTCCCTATCAGTTGCCCCCTATTTCTGGGTACGTGGTGGACCAAGGAAATACTTTCTATATTCCATTTGTTTCCTTTTTACTACAGGCCCCTTCCATATTGTAGTAGGACTCCTTTACAAGAACTTCACTGTTACTTGAAAAAGAATTTTCTTTCCTATAAATAGATAAATATATATATTTATTTATTTACCTTCCTTTTCTTTTTGGTCTGAAATCCTCCAAACTGGATCCTAACTGTGAGTTTATTGTGGATCGTTGTAGATACGTAATTAGATCAAGTTGTCTCTACCAGGTTATTGGTGTAATTCCAAAGTGGTTTCGCTATTTTCGCGATATCCGATACCTCATCATGTTCGTGCAGAAAAATAACTTGAATACTGAATCTCAATCCGAGGACTCAACCTCTGAAAGTGTTGAAGAACTCGATCCTGACTATGCTGATGAATCTGGTGTTGATTACTCCTCAAGACCAAGGACTGCTTTTTCCAAGCAACCTCCTCGTGAAGGAGAATCCTTAATGAAGGATGAGAATTTACAGAGTTGTAGAGTTAAATATTCCATTCCTTCATCTATTCGTCTTCACAAACCCAAACCAGAAGATAGATGTTCTTCTATTCGTTTGGGTGAGGTATGTTTTTTCGAGTCGACTTTTGCTGCGGGCTTGCGTTTTCCGATTCACCCATTTGTAGAAGAAATTCTTTCTCATCTGAAGATAGCTCCTTCTCAAATTTCTCCTAATTCATGGAGAATTATTATAGGCTGTTTGATTGTTTGGGGAAAGTGTGGCAATGGCCGTCTAACAGTAAATCAATTCCTGCATTTTTATTATCCCAAGAAGAAAAAAGACAATTTTTGGTACTTCCAGTGTAGATCAAAGAAGACATTCCTCCTTGTCGCAACCCCTGAAAATAATAAAGGTTGGAAGAGTCGTTTCTTCTTTATTTCCGGTGCATACGGGAAATTTCCAACTATTTGGAATAATTCAGATCCAACAGGTAAGATTTATATGTATATAGTTTCCAAATTAATAATAATTTTTTTTTTTTTTGGTACCCGAGGGAACAATACCCTCGGGTACTGTTCATGAATAGGATTTTTTTTTTTTTTTTTGTTTTTTTTGTTTGTTTGTTTGCACCCGAGGGAACAGTACCCTCGGGTACTGTTCATGAATAGGATTTTTTTTTTTTTTTTTTTTTTTTTTTTTTTTTTTTTGTACCCAAGGGAATAGTACCCTCGGGTACTGTTCATGAATAGGAAATTTTGGTTTTTTTTTTTTTTTTTTTTTTTTTTTTTTTTTTAGGTGCAACTTATTATTCTTTTTCCCAGAATTTAAGGACAAACCAACCCTCTCCATTCCAGAAGCCGAGCATGTTGGTAATGCCTCTTCTTACCCAGTAAAGACCTTTAGCGATCTCATAACTGACGAGGCTTTAGATTTGTATGTACGAGCTCATAGCTCAAAGGAAACCTCCACCCACTTAGAGAAAGGTAAGAAAAACAAACATACTTATATGTGAACTTATTGATTTTTAGTTAATATCTCATTAAGTATTTCCCTTATTACTTTTCATGTAGGCAAGAAGCTCAGTAAAAGACTCCTAGCCCAAGTCCGGTCAAGTAATCTCCCTTCTACTCCTGCTTCCAAAAAATTACGAAGGGTAGGAGAAGGGAATCATGGTACATCCGCAAGCCCTGGAGTGTTATCAGGTCCTACTCTTGTACCTCTAGGTTTCAGCGGATTTGGTGGGGTTCCTACTAGTTTCGAAAGTTTTTGTTCAGTATCAACCAACCAAGCCTTTTCCCACGGGGAATCGATTCTCGATGACGCTAATGTCGCGAATGACAAGTTACATAAAATGGTAGTAAAAAACGATACTGCCAGATTGCAGAGTTTGCCAGCATCTGAGCTTTCAAAGAAATTTCTTCATCTAATCGGCTAGGTGAGATTTTACCCTTATTATGCTCATCTCTTTTTTTTCGTTTATTTATTTATTTATTTTTAACTGTTCGCCACTATTTATTTATTTATAGGGCACTACATACTCTGTTGTTATCGCCAAAGAATACGAGAAGCTTTCCTTAGAGATGGCTTCCCTCAAGGCTAAATATGAAGATGTTACTTCTACACTTAAATTAAAGAAGATGACTTGACTAATGCAAAATTAAACTTTCAAGATGAGAAAGTGAAACTTACCAAAGAATACTCTGATAAGCTGGAATTCGAGAAGCTAGCTACCGTGGAGAATTTTAAAAATTCTAATGAATTCAAGGTGCTCATAGGCAAGGCTTGCTGTGATGGTTTTGACCGGTTCAAAGCTCTTGTCGGCAAAGATCGTCCAGACATAGACTTCTCTAGGTATGACGTTCTAAGTGAGAGCGAAGAGGAAGATTGAATTCCATAGTATTAGTTACATATATATATATATATATATATATATATATATATATATATATATATATTAGGTTTTTTGATTTCTCAGTATGTTGTTCCTTTAAAACTTTTCAGAATATCTTTGAATCCAGAGAATAGTTGCTCTACTTTTGTCTTTCATGGTATTGTTCCATACTTGTTGTTTCCTTATACAGAACTCATTTTACTTTCCCAGGCTTCACTCAGCCCGTCCTTCTTTCGAAGGAACATATTTTTACGAGCTTCACCCAGCTCGTCCCTTTAGTAAGGAAAAGTCACTTATTTCTTTTAATAAAGAAGGGGACTTAATGTGTCACTAGTCCTTATGTGACTTATAAAATTCAGTAGAAACACGTGCAATAAATACGAATAACCATTTTATTAAAGACCTATCGAAAATAATAATCGATAGTTGAATATTAGCATCCGTTACACACTGGTCTGCTTTATTGTAGCTGAAAACATTCTATCACTTTTAAAAGTGAGATAATAAAATAAAACACAGCCTGGCATGAGTACCTACTGGTAATATTTCCTCAAATGTTCTGCATTCCACGGGTGGGGAAGCTGGCTCCCACCAAGTGACTCTAACCAGTATGCCCCCGGTCTGTTGCTTTTGGTTACTCGATAAGGGCCCTCCCAATTAGGAGCTAACTTTCCTTTCCCCTTTTCCTTAGTAGCCGGGGTAACCTCACGAAGCACCAGGTCTCCTAGCTCGAACCTCCTTGGCTTGACTCGGGCATTGTAGTACTTGGATATCATCCGCTGGTAAGCCGCAACCTTGACCTGGGCCTGCTCCCTTTTCTCTTCTACCAGGTCTAGGTTTAATCGTAGTTCCACTCCGTTCTGTTGAGGTTCAAAATACTTGGTTCTGAAGGTAGCAACCTTTGTTTCTACCGGGATCACAGCTTCACTTCCAAAAGCTAACCCAAAAGGGGTCTCCCCAGTAGGGGTTCTTACGGTAGTGCGATAGGCCCATAAAACTCCGGGTAGTTGTTCAGGCCACAAGCCCTTGGCCTTTTCTAGGCGTGTCTTGATCATCTTCAATATTGTCCTATTCGTGACTTGAACCTGCCCATTGGCTTGGGGATGGGCAGGAGAGGAGAAATGAACTTTGATCCCAAGTTCATTACAAAAATCGAGGAACTGCTCACTTTCAAACTGCTTCCCATTATCGGTCACAATTACCCTTGGTGCTCCAAACCTGTAGATTATTGTCTTCCAGAAAAACTTTTTTACTTCATTCGCTCTAATATGAGCTAATGGCTCAGCTTCTACCCATTTGGTGAAATAATCGATAGCCACAATTACGTATTTAGTTTGTCCCTTCCCTTGGGGTAAGGGGCCGATGAGGTCTGTCCCCCATTGGGCAAAAGGCCACGGCCCTGTAAGAGGGGTTAACTTTTCTGCTGGTTGTTTTGGGACATTGGCAAATCTCTGACACTTGTCACATTTCTTCACAAACTCAAGTGCATCTGTCCTCATAGTAGGCCAAAAGTATCCTTGTCGGATAGCTTTATGCGCTAGTGATCTGCCCCCAACATGATTTCCATAAAGGCCTTCATGTATGTCCTTTAGAATGTAATTTGCCTCATCAATGGAGACACAACGCAAGTAGGGTAGAGAAAATCCCTTCTTGTAGAGAACCCCATCAACGAGGGAATATTTTGCCGCACGCATCCTAATCTTTCGTGCTTCCATGCGGTCCTGGGGTAGCTCTTCGTTCTCAATGTACCTGATAATGGGTTCTGCCCACTCCATGCCATGGGCCACCTGGTGTATTTTCTGTGGCCAATCCCAGACCGTGCTAGGCTCATCCAAATATCCCACGGGTATGGCTTTATCTTCCTCTGTGGTTGCCAATCGAGCCAGGGCGTCTGCCTGCGCATTCTCTTCTCGGGGAATCCGGTGAATAGAAAACTTCTTAAAAAAGCCCTTAATATCCTCTATCTTATGTTAATAGGTCTTCATCTTCTCATCCTTGGCTTCATATTCCCCCTGGACTTGTCCAGTTATTAGTTGAGAGTCAGTATATGCTACTAGTCGTTCAACTTCTAAAGCTTTCGCCATCCTGAGGCCTGCTAGGAGGGCTTCATACTCTACCTCATTGTTGGTTGCTTTAAAACCAAACCTGAGAGCATATTTGATGCATTCCCCATTTGGGGAGATAATTACTAGCCCTGCCCCACTTGCACGGGCGTTGACAGACCCATCCACATATAACGTCCAAATAGATTCGGCTTCTTCCTGCTTATCTGCAGCATGCTCGGGCCCATCTTCTGGTGTGAATTCCGCTATAACATCTGCCAGTACCTGGGCTTTTAAGGTCGTTCGGGGTTTGTATTGGATGTCGAACTCTCCAAGTTCTACCGACCACTTCATGAGTCGCCCTGAAGTATCAGGTTTGTGGAGAACCTACCTAAGTGGTTGGTCCGTCAATACTATTATTGTATGAGCTTGGAAGTAAGGCCTGAGTTTCCTCGCGGAGATAACTAGAGCAAATGCCAACTTTTCTATCCTTGGGTATCTTTCTTCCGCCCCCCTGAATGCACGACTAATATAATATACCGGTTTCTGGTTTCCATCCTCTTCGCGGACCAAGGCTGAGCTTACTGCCGACGGAGAAACTGCCAAGTACAAATACAACTGTTCTCCTTGCATCGCCCGCGACAATAATGGTGGTGAAGTGAGATACTCCTTTAGCTCTGTAAAAGCTTGCTCGCACTCAGGGGTCCATGAAAAAGCTTTCCTGAGCACACGGAAAAAAGGCAAACACCTATCGGTCGCCCTGGAAATCAACCTGTTCAGAGCTGCGATCCTTCCTGTCAATCTTTGAAGTTCCTTGGTCGATGCTGGAGACTGCATGTTGAGAATCGCCTGGACCTTCTCAGGGTTAGCTTCTATCCCTCTTCTACTTACCATGTAACCGAGGAATTTCCCAGAGGAGACTCCGAAGGCACATTTACTTGGGTTGAGCTTCATCTGGTGTTTCCTGAGGACTTGGAACGTTTCCTGTAGATCAACCAGATGGTCTTGAGCTTTCAAGCTTTTTACAAGCATGTCATCCACATACACTTCCATATTCCTTCCGATTTGGTCCTTAAACATCAGGTTTACTAGCCGCTAATATGTTGCACCAGCATTTTTTAGCCCAAAAGGCATCACCTTATAGCAATATAAACCTCTGTCCGTGATGAAAGAGGTTTTATCTCTGTCTGGCGTGTGCATTGAGATTTGGTTATACCCTGAGTATGCATCCATAAAACTGAGCAGCTCATGGCCAGCTGTCCCTTCTACCAACATATCAATTCTTGGTAGAGGGAAACTGTCTTTGGGGCACGCCTTATTTAAATCCGTAAAGTCTACACACAACCTCCATTTTCCATTGGCCTTTTTTACCAAAACAACATTGGCCAACCAGTCGGGATAATGAACCTCCTGGATGAAATCAGCTTTCATAAGCTTATTCACCTTTTCTGATATAGCCATGTTCCTTTCCGCGGCAAATGTTCTTCGTTTTTGCCTGATAGGTTTGAATGTAGGATCTGTATTTAATCGATGCTCAATCGTAGTTGGATTAATACCGGGCATGTCTTCATGTGACCAAGCGAATACATCTTGATTCTGTCTGAGGAACTGTATAAGAATATTTGTGAAATCTGAGGGGAGCAGAGACCCTATCTTCACCTTTTTTGTTATGTCAGTGTCATTCAAGCATATCTCCACCAAGTCCTCGATTGGCTTAGCCCGGTCTTGCTTTTCTCTTCAACTTCATCGACAATCAAAGCCTCCTGCTGTCTCTTTTCTTTGAGAGAGGCAACGTAGCATTCTCTGGCAATGGACTGATCTCCTCTTAGTTCGCCCACGCCATGCTCGGTAGGGAAGCGCATTAATAGGTGATAAGTCGAAGTGATAGCCCTCATCGAATTTAAGGTCGCTCTTCCTAGGATGACATTGTAAGCAGATGGACAATCCACCACCAGGAAGTCGACCATGACAGTGACTTGTTTTGGGCTGGTTCCTGCAGTGACAGGAAGGATGACTGCTCCTAGAGGATAGACTTTGTCTCCCGTGAATCCCACCAATGGTGATCTGGTAGGTCTGAGTTTCTCCTTACCAATCTTCATCTTGCTGAATGCATCAAGAAAAATGATATCAGCTGAACTTCCATTATCTACCATGATTCGCCGAGTATTATAGTTAGCGATCATCATGGTGACGACAAGAGGGTCGTCATGAGGTTGCTGCACATCTTTCATGTCTTCATCTGAGAATGTAATAACTGGATCACCTAAACGAGGCATCTTTCGATGTTGAATCTATACTCCCACTTCGCACACCTCAGATGAGCTTCGCATTCTCCTTGCATAGGCCTTACGGGTTGAGCTCGTTTCTCCACCTCCTGCACACCCCCCGGCTATGACCCTGATCTCTCCTATTGGTTGTTGATCAGGAGGGTGGTTATCTCGGCCTGCTCTTAGTGGGTTAATGTCGGTTCTGTCATTCCCCACAATAAATTTTCGCATGTGC